TATAAACGATCGATCCTGTCATCTCTAGTATACTAACCTAATCCTTTGGTTGTATCTGTATCCATTCTCTTCTTAGCCAGTTCGTTTTTGGTCCAAATCAGGCAGGTAGATAGTTGTCAGGCCACTGTCTTATCTAGAAGGTTCCTCTCGAAGTCTCTGTAGTCAGAGGGAACTTAAAGGCATAGCAGAGAGCTGGGGAAAAACGCTCAAAAGGAATACGTTATAGTGTTTAGAAGGGAGGGGTCTGGGAAAGGAGGAAGAACAGAGGAGCTGATCTGCAGGTGCTTGTCCCTGGTGATTATAATGAGATGAGGAGTGAAGTGAGGAGAAGAGAAGAATGATATCACTTTCATGCGGCCCCTTCAGATGACAACAAGAAGTGACAGTGAGCTTCAGCCGATTGTTTCGGAGCGTAACTTGTCGGCAGCCGTCCTCCTTTCTGCGGATATGGGCTGTAATTGAGATCAAGCAAGTCAAGACTGGCTTGGGATTTCACATGGGAAAGGAAGAATGGTATTAAAGATATGTTTTCTTCTCGGGACGTCCGTTAGCTCGCGTCAGCCTGGATGTTAGTTGACGAACCCTAGCAGGTTGGAAAGGTGATCTAAGACGTAAAGTTTAGACAGAAGACAGTGTGGTTATCCCAGCCCACGGCAGAGATGGTGTTGACAAACTAGCGTCGCTACATTAATAGGTACAGCATGTAGCTTGCCGTAACAGAATACACCATGTTTTAGGTCACAGAGGTTAAGGCTTGTTTTGATGTAACAGAACTCCTTGATAGTGTTACGAGTGAAGTCATGATCATCACCAGCCAACATCTTGTATGCTGTGTTAGCCAGGCCTTGTTATGTCTGAGCTCACTTTTCAGCTCTTGGATTTGGATACAATGTAAAACACATGCTGCAGTGCTGGGCGTTGGCGCCTGGCTGCTGGCTTTCGCTTTAAAGCTGAAAGAAGCTCCTAGATAGTATTTATATTTATTGCCCACTAAAAAATACTATACTCTAAAAAACAATACAATACTCCAATATATAAACTGTTTAAACTTAATTCAGTAGGTCTAAACCCTATCTCTCCCTGACAAACATCCCCCCCCCAAACACACACACACACACACACATACTTCCCAGCCCCCTTGATGTAGTCTGAACCAATATCTTGGGTCCTTTATTTTTATCATGTTGTTGCTCTACAAAGTACTGGAAAAACATTACTCTATTTTATTTCTCAACCTGCACAAATGTTTATCAAAAAAATAATTTAATTCAATTACATTATGGACTTGTATGGACTATGGATTTGTCTTGTTAGTGGTTGACAAAATTTACCTGCTTTTTCAACAAGCCTTTTAATCTGTCATGTAGCTGCAACTAATATAAGATGCTCAACTAAACAGACAAAAGAACAATGTTAATCTAAGCACTCTTTCTGAACCACTTTACTGTCATTACTGTGACTGTTCCAGTTGTCTCTTAAGACACTTACTTCCTGTTTGGGCCCGATCTTGTTATTGAAGTCATGAAAACAATTGTACAAGTGTTTTTGTACAGATGTAGTAGTTTGTTATACCATATTTCAGTAATGCAGTTCTCCTGTGACTGCTGCTGATTTTTTATATTTTTTGGCTACTCAAACTTGTGTGAGAATCCCACAAGTTAATGAATATTTTCATGCACAATTACAGCTTCCACCAGGGTCTAGACCTTGGCAGTGGCATTTCGATCTGGTAATTGTGCGCTGTGGTGGATGTGTGTTCTCTGGGGACGTTTTGTTTTGGCCACGAGCTGCCTGAGTCTTGAGCTCTTACCCCGAATGTGCGCATGGCTCATCACCTCGCGTGAACTTCTCCCCCTACCCAAAGAAATGTAGGCCAGCCAGTCCATTGCCCAATCCCCTCCAGCCAGAGCAATCTTGGAATCATGGGGAGGTGGGAGGAGGAATTAGTGCTGGCTGCGTTGTTTCTCAAGTATTCTGTCAATGGGGCGAAGAAAAGAGCATGCAGTGTAAGAAAAGCCTTGAAGTGGTTTGTTCATGCAACTATGGAGGACGGATTGCCATTTATTAATATATTATTAATCCTGAAAGGGAGACTGTAACCCAACACTAGCTGTTGCCTAGATCATATAAAGAGCATAAAGTTGTGTTTGTTGTTTGAATTACTAAGTATTATGCTATATGATTCAGATAATAGCTGTGGAAGTAAACGCAACCTAAAAATCCACTCAGTGCAATATAGTCTAGCTGTACATCATACACAGTGACTCCACCCGAAGAACTGTAAGTTCTGATAATGTTCTGTGAGTAAACTTTGGCGAAGTAGGAGACTGCAGGTCTGGCACAGGAGACATCAGCGCCAGCATCAGGCTGCTCTCTCGGACTCTGGCCGTGGGTCAGCTGACCTCTCAGAGTGGTTCATTTCACCCAGAGTGATGGAGACTGATTGGCAGCATCCATGAAGGTGAAGCAAGGTGAACAGAGGCAAAAAAGAGCTTCCACCTTACCCCGGCACTCTCTCCGCGGGCGCCCGGAGCTGAAAGGCCATGGACACTTTATAAATCACCCCAAAATGTTGACAGCAAATTAGTGTGTGCTGCCATGAGTTCCAAAAATTGACTTTAACAGGAGAGGGAAGGATGAAGGTTTGGACGTTGGGAAGTACAATGTCTCTAAATTGGTAGTTTCTTTTATTTGTTTTTAAATTGAAGTGGTAAAATAATTATTATTTACCTGGTGTAGGAGAGGCATTGATTCTGTATTCTGAACCATTAAATATCTTCCCAGGATCAGTTTTTTTTTTTTTTCTGAGGAAATCAACAGTGGCTAGACATAAATCAGAGTGGTCAGTACTGAGTGATGTGGACTTCTTGCAAACCTGGTAATTGGCCATAGGCTGATATGAGGAACTTCCTGACGTGTTATGTCTCTCTGGCCGTGATGGACAGGCACATAGCCATCGGAGCAGCAGGGTTCTGCAGATGTGTTGGCGCTGTTTACGCTCCCTTTGTTTATTTCCATGGGCCAACGTTCGCCTGGTTATCATGTACTTATTGTTGGTGAAAGATGCAGAATTAGGTCAAGGTGACTCGACCGGACTTCTTGAAGACATTTCACTTATTTAAGGAGCTTCATCTATAACAGAAGAGCATTTTGCCTTATGAAGACCGTCATAAACAACACGCAGGAGGGATGTGTTGTGGTGGTGGTGGTGTCTGTGTGTGTGTGTGTGTGCATGTGTGTGTGGACAGAATGAACTCAGCAGTGTGTCAGGCACCGTCCTCAATCTGAGGCCTGTCAGGAGACGGATGGGCTGAACGTGGCACCCTGGCCCTGTGTCTGCATTTCGTATGGTGTACAGAAAAGTCATAAGAAGAGGAGCAGCTCTCAGGACACTGCATAAATAAAGACAAGTGGCAGTAAGTCATTTGCTAAAACATGACTGTATATGAAATATTTCAGCGCTCCTAAAAAAAATAGCAGTTTATTCAGTACGTGTGCAGCCTGTTGCCACAGTTATAAATCCTCTTTTTACTGGCAGTAAATAACAGTGATCAGGATCAGACCTTCTTTGGAGAGTTTTGTTCGTCATTGCTGATTTTCTTTCTTCTTATTTTCTTTCTTCTATAAACATAATCCTTTATGGCCTTGTGGTGCAAATCGGCATAAATAAAAAGCAAATCTTAGAAATCTAAACTGTAATTAGAGCATTCTTACACTTAAAATTTGAAACACCATGCAGCATTTTTCTTTAAAAAAGATACTTTTTTTCAATCACCTGTGACTCAACTGCTGCTGCTGCTGTTTATAATCCCACATGAACACTTTAAAGATTTGCACTCCAAAAATAGTTTATGGAGAGCCAGCCTTGCTTCAGTGGACAATCTCATGAAGGTACTGTGGATTTGTACCTTCTAAGAACTGCTGCTGGAATCATAAAGACTGTTCTGTGCTCATCCCAGGACTCTTATTCACAATTTGCTCATCATGAGATTGGGTTCTCTTTTGAGTCTGGTTGCTCTCAAGGTTTCTTCCTCAAGACGTCTCGGGAAGTTTTTCATTGTTACTGTCGCCTCTGGCTTGTTCATTAGGGTTCTAACGTCATGAACGTAGACATGAGCAATGAAGCTGTCTTTGTCTTTTTTTTTCTTTAGAATGCTGCATTTCTTAAATATGACAGAGCATAAGTGTGGGACATCACAGGAAAACTTTTACATGCACTTAACTAACCTAGTTTTTTTGGTTTTTTTTTAAATCTTTCATTTTCAACCTTTCATGTAAGTGACCTTTTGATTGGACCTTGTTTTAGACTTAACCCAGTACAGTTTAATTCTCACAGACTAAGCATGCATGCAAAGTAAGCATAAGTATGTATTGCTGGATTATTCAAATGCATTAGCAGCAGTGTGCATCCAAAGAAACACACTGGACTAGTGGGAGTTTGGCTTTGTCATAATCTGGAGATTTGAATAACTCTGTGTTAACCAAATGCATTGATTACTGCAATGTGACAAAAATAAAAGACTGAGCAATGGCAAAAGATAAATAATGAACTTGATTTTCCGTTCTGTTCTCCTTACTAGCCTTGTGTGACCATGAACACGCAGTAACTCGTAATCATTCATTCATTCAACTTCAGTAATGGCTTTGTTTGCTGAATTTCAGCAGGTTTTTGTTTGTACATGCCTCCAACCTCATTGCATCTGGGAGCCCTATGTCAGACATGCCACTTCAAATGCTATATGTTATGCTAATTAGCAGCAATTTGGCGACTTCTTGATGTTGTAGTTCTTCTTTAGGCTGTTGCCATTAGCGGTCGCCACAGCAGATCATTGGTCATATTTGATTTGGCACAGTTTTTACACACGGCAGTACACTCTCAACTGGGGTTGCACACGACAGTGCACGCCTAGTGCTGGTCCCAAGCCCTCCCAAATTTAATCCGGGTTTGGGACAGGCACTGGGAGTGCACTATCGGGTGCAACCCAAGTGGCCAGGGTCAGTTCCCTGGCCAGGAATCAAACCCGGGCCGCGGCAGTGACAGCGCCGTTGCCTAACCACTAGTCCTCCAGGGACCCAACTTGGCTGCTTCTTCATATATTGTCAGTATGAGTTTCCGCCAGGTTCTCCAGTTTCCTCCAAAAAACAAGCCTGTAGCTGAATTGGCTACTTTAAATTGCTCCAAGGTGAGTGTGAATGTATGTGTGTGAGCAGGGTGCCCTGCGTCCCATCCAGGGTGTATTCCCTCCCCAAACCCAGTGTTCCAGGAGTAGGCTCCGGATCCACCACATGAACGAATGAACAAATATGGATAAATTTAAATTTTAAAATATCCGGATTTCTGTAAAGCTGCTTTGTGACAATGCGCTATATAAATAAAATTAAACTGAATTGAATGAATAAATATTATCAGACAAGAGTAATAGCATGTAGCCTGCACAATGTAATACATCACCCAGATGTTATTTGTTTAAATTGATTTTCCTTTTTTGTTTGTTTCTGAAGTCGGATACATGCATTCAAGCTCAAGAATAAAACCTGATGAGATTCAATTCAATTCAATTTTATTTGTATAGCGCTTTTAACAATGGACATTGTCACAAAGCAGCTTTACAGAAATAAATGGATTCACAAAAATATATTGTAAATATTTAAATTTATCACTGTGAATTTATCCCTAGATGTGTTCTAAAACTACTGAGGACAAGCTTGACATATTTGTCCCCCCAAAAAAAAGAAAAAAACATATGGAACATGCATCAGCAGCATCATCTTGCTCACAAACACCAGAGACATTTCAATCAGTGTGAGGAAGAGTCATAGGCCTTTATAGGAACCTTTGGGATTATGAAAAAAGCACTTATTTTACTAAGAGTAGACATTTGTCACAGACACGCCGGTGTGTGGAAAAGCGAAGCAAAAGCCCAGCCTTGCAAGCTGGTTAGCAAAAATGATTCGTGTTCCTTTCGGTCACGGTGAGGAAGAGAGGAAAAGAAATAGATCTCTGATATGCTTTCTGCTTAAAGCATAGCCTTCCAAGAGTTATTACCTTTATTAAAAGCACTGACACGTTGCCTTATATATTTCCGCCTTCTCCCACGCCACCGAGACAATTTTCTTTTCTTAAATAAACTGTCATGCTAGTGTTAATTTATCGCTGCCACCCTCATTGCGGGAGAAGGAAGGGCTGATATAAAACATGTATATATGAGATTGGTAATTGTAGCTTTAGCCTACTTGAGTAGAACAAATGCGTCTCTCTCATGGCTGCGCTAATGTGATAAAGGGAAAATTGGCTGTTCGTCAGCTGCCTCCTCCGCTGTGTAATGGCCGATGTTGAGGAGAGGCGTCCGGCTCCAGCCGACTCAGATGCATCAGCGCTGAAATTCCAGCAGCGTTCTCCTCCAGACAGTTATATTTCAAATGATTGGCCGAGTCATACTCGGTGCACTCCGATACATGGGATAATGTAACAAATTACAAGTAAGGAAACAGTTTTGCTTCATTTAAATGATAAGAGTCTGTCTCGCTGAGGCTCAGGGCTAAGCTGTAAATAAAACATCCGTGTGTGTGTGTGTATGTGTGTGTGTGTGTGTGTGTGTGTGTGCGTGCACACAGATAGAATGGTTAGGCTTCGGCAGGTATCAGCAACATGCTTTGAAAAAGCTTGGGATTGCCTGCGCTGATACCCTCATCCGGAGTGGAATATTTCTCGGGGCCCTGACAGCTCGTCCAGCGCTGAAATGGAAAGGGCTTTATCATGGAGCGCTTTGTCACTCAGGCTGCTGAAGGTGCCTCAGCCCCGCTTTAGGCTTGTGTCTCCGCCCTGGTTTATGGGCCAGGTCAAAAGGGCAAAGCATCATTTCAGATATAAAGCTGTGGCATTTGAAGTTAGATATACTTGTATAAAAAGACATTGGAGTTTTTTTTTTTCCTCGCTCAAGTTCAGGATTTGATAAACAGGAGGTATAAAACTTTGTGCCCTGGATTGTCCTAATTCTTTAACTACAGGTGCACAATAGGGATGCGATTAACCATTATTTTATAAATTGATTTTCTGGTTAATTGATTAGTTGGGTTATTTTAAAATATACAGAAATACCAAAAAATGTTTATTTATTCCATTTTGTAATTGAAAGAAAGAAGAACATAAAACACAAAATGGCACGTGAGTGTTATTAGGAGGTAACGCACACGCTCATTTCCTCTACACTAACTTTACATTGAAAAAATGTTAATACATATTGTGTGCAAATCGTTTTTGCTTTGTGTAATCGACTTTAGAGCTTTGGGGTTGACTCTTAGTTTTCAATAGCTGAAATCAGGGATTCGACTCCCAAAACCTTTAATGTGAACTGAAAGGAGAATGGTGACTTGAAGACTTGACACTCAACATATATTAAAATTCCGTACTACAAGCTCATTCAAATAGTGACTACATGTGACAACACTACTGCCCAACACTGCATAATGCACAAATTCGTTATTAACACATTACATATTATTACATATTATTAACATATATATATATATATATATATATATATATATATATATATATATATATATATATATATATATATATATATATAGTCAGGTCCGGAAGTATTTGGACAATGACCGAGTTTTTGTGATTTTGCCTTTATACACCACCACAATGGATTTGAAATAAAACAATCAAGATGTAATCGAAGTGTAGACTTTCAGCTTTATTTTAAGAGGTTCCACAAAAATATGGCATCTACCATTTAGGAATTACAGCCATTTTAAGCAAAATACTTCCATTTTCAGGGGCTCAAAGGTATTTGGACAATTGACTGACAAGAAGTTAATTGACCAGGTGCGGTCCATTCCCTCGTTACTTCAAGACGAATGAAACAGATAAAAGGTCTGGAGTTGATATCAGGTATTGAGTTGGCTTTTGGCAGCTGTTCGACTGGAGCTACCCATATGAAGTCCAAGGAGATCTCAGTGCAAGTGAAGGAGGCCATCATTAGGCTGAAAAAACAACATAAATCTATAAGAGAGATAGCAAAAACATTTACATTTATGGCATTTGGCAGATGCCCTTATCCAGAGCGACTTACAATTATCTCATTTATACAACTGAGCAGTTGAGAGTTAAGGGCCTTGCTCAAGGGCCCAGCAGTGGCAGCTTGGTGGTGCTGGGATTTGAACTCTTAACCGTCTGATGAGAAGTCCAACGTCTTAACCACTGAGCTACCACTTCCCTAGGTTAGGTGTGGCCAAATCAACAGTTGGGTTTTATTTCAAAGCCATTGTGGTTATATATATATATACACAGTACTGTGCAAAAGTCTTAGGCACATGCAAAGAAATGCTGTAGAGCACAGATGCCTTCAAACAAAATGAAATTAAATGTGTCTACTTTAAAAAAAATTATATGAAGAGCAGTAAACAGAAATAAATGAAACAAAGTCAATATTTGATGTGACGACCATTTGCGTTAAAAAAAAAAAATAGTAGTCTCAGGTACAGTGTGTGCAGTTTTATAAGGAAATGAGCTGTAAGTGTTACTGAGCATCTTGCAGAACCAGACACAGTTCTTCTGGAGACTTTGACTGTCACACTCGCTTCTTATTTTTGCAGCAAAACCCAGCAGCCTTCATTATGTTTTTTTGTCTGAAAAGTGTCTCTTATGTAATATACTGCTTTCTTTACTGACATACAAACATTTTTCTGTAACATTTTATTTTGTGCTGGAAAACGAGTGTTTGGAAATCTAAAATGATTTTGTACTGAATCAATAATGTAGAAGTCATAAAATAAAAATCTATAACAAAGTTTGTACTAAAAAAAAATGGGGTGCCCAAGACTTCTGCACAGTACTGTATATAAAAAGAAAGATTCAGTGTAAAGGAGTTTAGGCTTCATGGCATTCATCTAATTACTCATTTGAGACCATGTTCAGTTGTTTTTAGCCATTCGAAGTATCATGCAAACTGACTTTTTGGGCAAAGTAGCCCAAGATAATGTTTTCTGTTAGGATAGGAAAGATTGATAAATACACTATATAGCAGTAATTTCTGGGCTTTTTTTGCCCTGGTTGAGTAATTGTAATGTGCAAATATCTGTACTGACCATCAGATTAGTACTGTTTATGTTCACATAAACGCAGTGAGATTCTCACTCATTCGCTCCATGGCATTAGAACGTTCATAAAATTTAGATTTTAACCGACACCAAAGTGCTGCTGCAGTAGGTTATAGACTGTACTTGGACACCTGATCATCACCCACATATGTGGTTCTTCCCCAAACTGTTGCCACAAAGTTGGAAGCACAATTTTCTAGAATGTCTTTGTATGCTGTAGCGTTAAAATTTCCCTTCACTGGAACTAAGGGGTCCAAAGATGTTCCAGCATGACAGTGCCCCTGTGCACAAAGCGAGCTCCATGAAGATAAGGTTCGCCAAGGTTGGAGAGGAAGAACTCGTGTAGCCTGCAGAGAGCCCTGACCTCAACCCCACTGAACACCTTTGGGAAGAACTGGAACTCAGACTGACATCTGGGTGTGATGGTCAGGTGTCCAAAAACTTTTGGCAATAGAGTATATGACAGTGAATTAGCAATACAGTGGGGCAATGAGATAAGGTACGGCGGCTGAATAGAATAGTTAATACGCATGGGTTAACCTGAGTCATTGTGCTTCCACTGCTTCTTGATTACACATCAAAACACAAATCCCATGAGGGCAAAACCGTTTAATGTGTATTTATTGATTTATTTATTTGGCCCACTTGATTTTTGTCCAGGCTATTTTTGCTAACTTACCGTGCCCCTGTGTCTATTTCTTCCAGTGATCTGACATGTTTTCTCTTCAGACACTCACGCATCACTGTGCTTCCGTGCCATGTGAGGTCAGCTTTGCACTCTATGAAGAGTGTAATGTAAAAATGTTTCTTTTCTTTGGTTGTAACATTTTCAACATTCTCCATCAAGAGAACATTTTCCATCAAATGCACTTTTTAATCTAAATGAATTGACGTTGTGAATGTCATAGCGTGCATCATAGCATAACTAGCTGATAATGAAATGTATGGCCAACAGTTTTAC